CATCACGAGTAAAGAAGAATTCGAGAGAGCAAAAGCGTGTGTACAAATAAAATTGCTGTATACTTATTGTAAGCTCAATCGCGAAACGAGTCTGAGGTGAATGATTCACCTTGAGTGCATTATGTTTCCGACGAGAAAACCGGGTAAAACATAGTGAAATCGGTTTCTTAACTATCTTAAGAAAAAAACTAAAGAATAGAAACCAGTAGTAAGTATGAAAAAAAGATTTCGGAGAATAAATCTGACTAATTGTACTTGTATCACAGCGTGCCCTAGATTTGAATAAGTAATACATGCCAAACGACGATTGTCATAAAGGACATTTACAGGAGGGACCATTTCTAAAGGACATTTATTCTGCAGAACATCTTTCCAAGGACTAAATACTCGGGATATTTTGTCCTCGGACAAAATTGCGGAGACATTTTGCAAAAACCATTTTCGAACGGACATTCTTGCCTGCACATAAAAAGTAAAGTTTAGTGTACCACTAGAAGGAGCTCTATACGGATCAGCACTAAAGTAAATAAGTTTTATCGGCTGAATTATGTCAAAAATTTGCCACTGATACTAGTGGTTCCCTCTAAAGGCAGTCTCGACTTGTCTAGAAATATTTTGACGTTTCACACCGTATATTCACTAAACGTTTAGATCATGTGAGTTCATTATAAAGTAACTTATAACTGTCATAAAAACCTCGTCTTTACGTCTCCATCCTCTACCGATTTTTTCCCTAATGTCTATTGCACTGACGTTTCTAATTCTCTGACAGTAACATTAAGGGAAACTCAATGACTGACACAAGGCAAGAGTCAACTGCTTGTATAGTAAGCAGATTCTAATACTGCATGGTGAATATTAATACATACTGTGCATAAGCCGAACGTATATACTTTCTCACTCTTGAAGTCGACGGATCTGTATTTTTTGGCATCAAACCAAATTTCCAATTATCAGCAAAATCTTCAAACTTCGCATCGAAGACGTCTTTCCATTCAATAAATGACATGATAACGAATAATCAATCAAGCTAGGTTTAATAATAAAAAAATAAAGCAGTTATCTTCTTTCTTGAAACAAAAACTTTAATTGGACTTATAAATGCTCGCTTCAAGAAGTTAAGGCTACTATGGTTTAAAAATATAGATTTGCATACAACTTTGCTACATAACGGAATACTGAAACGAAACTTTCCTTTTGAGAAGACTACCACGACACAAGCATCAAGTTATTTTCAGTAGCACAGAAGAAAAAGCTTTCATTTCCAGCGAAAGATATTTTGTCTGAGAAAAAAAATAACTCATAAAATCATCAATACTGTAACAAAAGCTTCATTTTATATAGAACTATTATGATAAACAAGAATATTCTAGCTCATTTCTTCACAGAACTTTTGATTGAAAGAAACTACAAACCTTCGAATTTTAGATTACTCGAAAGAAACACCACAAGGCACCTTTTTGTAGGCAACAAGCTTTTTATACAGTATTTATGAAAGTAGAATGTTAGGAGGATCCCTGGGAAACAACTCATGTCTCAAAAATTTTCATCGAATATTGATTACTCAAAATCGAAGTTCTTTTTTACTTCAGATGCACAACGAGAATACTGGGAATACGATATACGTACTGGAAGAAATTATAGAGCTACTATATTTTTGAAATGTTTCGATGAAGCCGAGTGGCTAGGTTAAATTTAAGTAGTGATTTGAATAGCCCCTGAAGTTCTTTATCAAATGCAATATGCGTCCAAAGTCCAGAAAAAAGGTTTTGAAGAAAGTTTTCTAGAAAATCCCTCCAGCGGAAATCTAAGTCCGATTTTGCTAAACATATTTTCAATATAGCCATCTAAAAGAGTATAAAATTCTGAAAAAAACGAAGCGTCGCACAGCTCTCCACAATCTTTCGTTGCAGAGTTACAGGAATCAGAAAATCCAAAGAAATAGTATAATTTACGAAAAAACGCTAAAAATCGCCTAATAAACAAGCAAAAGCACGTTTCTCTGAACTTTTTATGTCTGTAACTTTTCAACGAAAGATCGTGGAGAGCTGTGCGATGTGTTTTTTCCAGAATTTTATACTCTTTTAGATGGCTATATTGAAAATATGTGTAGCAAAATGGGACTTAAATCTCCGCTGGAGGGGTTTTCTAGAAAACTTTCTTCAAAACTTTTTCTCTGGAATTTGGACGCATACTACATTTGATAGAGAACTTCAAGGGCTATTTAAATCACTATTATCCTGATAGATGCACTTTTATGAAGAGACAAGTAGATCATTTTCATTTATTCCCACATAAGAACAAAAGAAGCTTGTCAGCGTTGTTCCTGTGGAGCAAAAGTGTGAAAAGTGTGAAAACAGATAACTTAATCAACCATAACATTGCTTAAGATGCAATACCTATTTATAATGAGAGAGGTAAAGTTTTTTTTATTTTTAATTATTAACTAAGGAGGAGGATCTGTTCTTTGGACATATAGTTAGTAAATAATTTGTTCTCTAATCATTATATTATTTTTTTCGATAAAGCTTTTTTGTTGACTTTTGATTTACATTATTAAATTATTTTTACATTTATATTTCCTTCGAACGACCTGATAATTGCAGGATTCACGTTAGGTCATATATTTAGCCGTAAGATGGGATCAAGAACGAGAGTGTACAAAAAAAGTTCTTCTATTTGTCGAACTGACGAGGGAACCGCTTCAAGTGTTCCCGAGCTTTTTCGTCGCATCACAGATAGGCATAGTTTATGGTTGATGCTGATTTCGTATATCATAGTCGAAGCGGCATATAGGCCCTTGCAGACCAGGTTTTCTAGAAAACCAGTTTTTGAGAAATTCTGAAAAGTAACCAAAACCTTTCTTAATGAGCAATAATTGTAGCCCGCAAATTTCTGATTAAAATGAGACATCTCCCAACTCTACATGGCCTTTCTTTGCAAAGTTATACAATTTACAAGAAAAGTCCTAAATTAATTTCTTCTTATTTCTGTAGCTTTCAGCTGACAAAGAACATTTAGGACTTTTCATGTAAATTGTATAACTTTGCAAAGAAACGTCGCGCAGAGCTGTGAGATATCTCATTTCAATCAGAAATTTGCGGGCTACAATTATTGCTCATTAAGAAAGATTTTGGTTATTTTTTAAAATTTCTGAAAAACTGGTTTTCTAGAAAAGCTGCACTGCAAGGGCCTGTATACCGCTCCGACTATGATATTCCAAATCAGCATCAGCGAAAGCCTATTCCTATGTGTGTTTCGACGAAAAAGCTCGGGAACACGGTTCCCTCATGAGCGTCTTAATTCTATGATGCTGACTCAAAAAGCAGCAAAAAATCTTTAGAGTCTGTTACATTTTAAGTGGGATTAAATGGAATACATATCATCTTTGAGTAGAACAAAGATGTGTGAAAGTTACCTGAGCTGGTACGTTGCAACAAAAGTTTTAAAATTAATTGAAAGTTTTTGGAATAATACGAACAAGTTTAACATACGCCTGTTTTACATTGACGCTTATATACTGTCGCCTTTCTTTACTCACTTCACAATGGGAAAAAACCCATCGTTTTCTCACCCTATGTTTTTTCGTCGTTAATTTCGATATACATGGAAACGATAAATTTTACGATCGTCTAGTTATACATCAAATACGGATTTTTTCCTTTCTCTTCTTCTTATTCCTACTAGAATCTTTTATACAGGTTGGTTTTTATTTAGAACTGACTATAGATAGCTTCATCGTTTTATGTAAGGCAAGAGAACGACATATTAAGCAGCAGACGTTAACGTTTGTTCCGACGGTCATTATGCATTAAAACCCCTATATACACTTTTCTCATAAAAGAGCCTTTACTAGGGACAAGGAGAGTATGTGCATACGAATTCTTCGTGAAATAGTATAACTGATTAGAAAAGCGTTTTTAAACAAATGGCATCTATATTTTATGTACTAGGATAGATGTATTGCTATTTGTGGCGATACTTGTTGGAAAAGTATTTAACAGTTTGCACTAATACGACTTTCAATATCGTGGCATTACAGTTATTCCAGGAATTGTTCCTTGCTGATTAAATATACTACTGCAGTTGAGCTGTCTATTAACGGTCTGCGTCACGGCGAACTAGTCTGCAATCCATTTAATGTTTTTACTAAGGCTGACTTCTCCAAGACTTGCAACATCTTCATTCTTGTAAGTGTTTCAACACTCATTCATGAGTACAACATGCCGCCGTTTTTTGTCTGTCTCACGTTTCCTGTCATCTGACACTAAGTAAATTATCTACAAAAATCTGTTATGACAATTTTTGTAAAGTACTTGAGTAGAAAATTTTGAAGTTTTAACATTTTATTTGTTAGAATTTTAAGTGTAGTATCAGTCCTAAAACAACAGATTTGGTTCAGGTTTTACCCTCTGTCGAATAGGATAGGATCTGATAACATTGAACAGATTAGCTTAGAGCAACGTTATATGTTATTGAAGAAAATCATTCTCTAGAGTCGACATTTGTTCAATTTTTGAACCAGAAGCAAGAACTCGTAAGCACAATAAGATCACTTTGCATAAAATATTTCATTATCAAACGATAAGGAAAGAATTTTCTTATTCCGTTAATATTAAAATTTTCTTTAAGAACGAAGATTACTATTGAATTTTATTATTTAACTTTTTAATTTTTAAAAAAGCTTTATTTCTCCGCGTTTCGAGAATACTATTCTCATTATTAAGAGAAGACGCGTAATGCTATGTCACGTACTAGAGCCGTGCCATAAGGAAGAAGATCATAATGAAGGTCATTGCACAAACATGTAGTCTAAGTTATTGCGCAGAGTCGACTCAAGGTTATCGCACAATATTTCTTATATAACTAGTTCAATTTTATTGTTAAGAGGATAGCTTTTTTATTTCTAAATAAACGTTAGGGGAGACAGATCTTAGTTCACTCAGGAACCTAACACGTAAAAGCAAGTGAAATGTTTTTCGTAAAGTAAAACTGAAAATATGACTTTCACGAAACATGCGTCAACATCTGCTGATATTATTCATTTAAGTTATTACAAGGGTGAAGATGAAGTTCTTATAATGTTAGGAGCTATGTTTCATACTGAAAAGATCAATTATGGTAAGAAAGAACAGATGTGGATTGCGTCCGTTTCATTGGCCAGCGACGATGATTACGATTTGAAAGATTTATTTTCACATTATAAAGACAAAATTGGAGAGGAAACGAATATAAATTCTTCAGGAAAGATTCTACTCGAAATGGGTGAATATGATAGAGCAGCTAAGTACTATGAACAGTACCTAAATAATTCTCGGATAGCAACGGCTGACAGTTTGTATGGGTTAGGATCTGCTGATTTGTATAATGGAAATTCACCCTCACCTCAAAGAGAGATACAGCGAAAAAAGTGTGAACAACTATATATATAAATATATAGGAGAGAGAAAAAGGTTTGAGAAGAAATGATAAATATATTTCAGATTCTTCGAATATCTGCCAATATACTTTATATATTGGTCCACTTTCTTGTCGATATTCTTGCAAGATTCTGGTTTCTTGCCCTTTGAGCCAAGAATCTTTAAATTTATCTTGATAAATCAGACATTCTTGTTTTTTTTGCGAAAGACTCTTGTATAAAATGACAAGATTCGTTGATAATGTAGTCACCAATTTGTTTTGTCGATTTCTGTACAATATATGCATCACAATGTTATGCATAGGTATCTTTTAAAGCTCACAAGCTTCTTGGCGAGAGGCAATCGAGCCTTTGCGTGTGCCTGTTTTTGGACTAACACATCTTGTCTACGTTGCAGGAGAAATTAAAATCTAACGGGATTTAATATTCTCGTATTGGAAATTAAAATTTTATCCTTTTCTAGTGAAAATAGAATCAACGTATTCACAAACATGAAAACTCAATAATCCTACTTTAGAGTTGAAATTTGAGTTTTCTGAAAAGCGCAAGATGTTTGTGGGCATCAGATGAAGATTATGATCAGTGACTGCGAATCCAGAAGTTTCGGTCAAAATATAGCTATAAGTTCGAGCACAGGTCAAAAAAAGGTTCACGCTCACAAGTTGTGGTGTTTAGACTCACAGTCTGCACCTGATTTCCATAAACATCTTGCGCTTTTCAGAAAACTCAAATATCACCTCTAGAGTGGGATAATTGAGTTTTCTGTTTGTGAATATCAGAGATGCAGAATATACCCATGAGACTGGAAAATTTCCATCGACGGAAAACGTTTATGAAAAATTCCCCGACTTAATCCATGAACAGAATTTTTTTTTGCAAAATATTTCCACAAAGAAATTCAAATTTTTCAAAACATTTCCTCCGACGAGCGTCGAAGTAAACAGGCAATTCTGCAGCTCCGGTGAATATGCCGCTTCTAATTTCCGCTAGGAAATATTAAAATTTTAATTTCTACTAGAGAAATTTTAAATACGATTCATGGCTTGTCCACGTAATGTAACACTTCGCTGATCAAGTTTTTTTTTTAATTTTTAATTTTTTTCATCAAAAATCGATAGGGGCACACCACTAGACGCAGCTTTTCATGCTGATCACGAATCTGACTTTTGTTTTGAAGAAAAAATTAATTTTCAATATAAAAGTTTTAATTTAAAGTTTTTAAAAACTTTAATTTCAATTTTCTGACCTAAACATTTTGTTCAAAAATTTTTTAAAACATACCATTGAATAGAGAATTCAATTCTCCACAAAATGACTTAAATTGTTTTGAGATCTATCTTTCAGTGGACACATAGTGACTGCTTGAACCTTTGAACTTCCGCCTTGGTCTGAAATCCTCAGAGAATTTTTCGAACTTTATTTTCAACTAGAGTCTTTTCACGAAACCTAGAACTGCACAAGCTATAAGTATGAAGGTATCATCTTCACCCAAGAATATCAACTTCAAAATGTTCCATCTCTTAACGGCGATTGTTAACGTCATTTAATTCAATTCCTATACGCCAAAAGCCATGGTTTTCTAGGAAGTTCTACTTCCAAAGGTTTCGGAGAAACCTTTCTAGAGACAAAACGAATGAGGACATCATGAAACCCCTTTTCATTAAAATTCGAGTTTCATTGAATTTGGTCCGGTTGTTCCGTAGATAGTTGTCTCATGCAAGACGCCTATTCGTAGGTTAGAACTCCAGCATATAATTGACCAAAATATTACAAAACTAGCCGAAGAGATAGTTGTCTAACAACAAAGTCTTTCTGATTCGTGAATGATTTTATCAACCAAAGCGACATATGTCTACCATAAATAACGTCAAATTGTTTAGTCAGACTGGAAGTGTCTTTCAACTTCTAATGCATCGCTGCGATTGAGCAATATCTAAACATTAAATATCATGTTCAGAAAATAATTCCATAGTAAATCATAGTCATCTCGATTCCTGTCGATCACTCTCATACGAAATAGATCTCTGAAATTAACTTATACGTACAAGTTTAAGAACTGGAATTGTATCAGTCTTATCTAAAATAAATAAATATTAGAATTTGAATGAAACGGACACACATCATCATTTGAACTTACTCGATTCACAATGTCTGTCATACATCTTTTGCATTTCACTATAGAGTAAATTCATTTGTTGTCGTATTACACGAGGTTTTGCTTTATCTAACTGTTCACGAATGTACGAGATTTGACGTGGTAACATTGATTGATGTCTACATGATGGAATTGCTTTAAATGAATATAGTATTATATGTTTTTTAGATTCATCACAGTATTCTAGATAATTCTCTAAATTTTGTGCTGTATTATCTGATTCTAAGCATTCATGAGCTGTACCTCTGACGATCATGTGATAAACCGAATTGCGTTTTACAGTATCTAATAACTCATCGTCATTTCTGATATTACACTTATCCGGATATACAACTAAATAATTTGGTCCAAGTTGAGATCTTAATTCGTTCAAGTGTTCTTCAAATGTTTGAATCTCATCTTTCGTACAATTTACATAAATGACACAAATATGTGAAGTGACGTTACAAAAATTTTCATCAATAATATTTGGAAATTGAAGTTGACCTGTACTATCAATGGTCACTAATCGTTTACGGTGCACGAAATCATATAACTTTTGTGCGAATGTATTTTCTGTCGTACAATTATTGTCGTTGCCACATATATCAATGAAACACATGCAGTCTTCATCTAACAAAGTTAAACGAGATATTGTTGGTATATCACTGTTTGGATATTTATACTTCTCATAATCAGTAATGTGAAACTTTTCACCAAGAGCATGTTCAAGTAACTGTGATTCACTTGTTTTTTGCTCCTTTGTACAGTTCCGATAATTGATATAAATCCATGGACGATAAGAATATAGAATATAAGGTCTAATAAACTTACTACGTGATTTATCATCCATTATCTACAAATAAGTCTAATGTAAAACTGCATTTAACACAGAAGAATAGTTATTCTCAGAAAAAAAAAGAAACAAAATTCCAAATGAAGATTTCGGAGGATTTCTTTTTATTAACAAAGTATTACAACACAACAATAGCATGCAAATACCGAGAACATTGGAAAAAGTTAATGTATTTCAACAATGTAAGATATTTAAGCAGTTGCACTACCATTGTTGTTGGAACAGCGTCTATCATCAATCTACAACGAGATAAAAGACATTAGTAGCGATAAGAGGAATATTTACTGCAGAGTATAAAGAGTAGCCGTATCTTCGCCAATACAATGCCTTCACATTCGCCAATTGGCGAAAGTTATGTGAACTCGTGTCAATATGACCACTTTACCTTCACCAACTGGCAAAACTCTGATGGACTTTCGCCAATTACTGACGAAAGTCCACTACATTCTCCATAATTGTAGCAGAGGGTTTTGATACTTCGCGAGAATCTCACGGAGTGTCGCCAATTGCCACTTGCCTTTTCCTGTGCTTTCGCCCATTTGCCGAACATCCAGTAGACTATCATCAATCTCAGGCTTAAACTGAACGCCGACCATCAATACATGTGACGTTCGGATATTTTGTAGTGATTCGTCATTTCTATAGCTTCTGGCTTGATCTGAGTTGTACAGCAGTAATCTAACACAATTTTTTTGTTCGTTTTTATGTTTTATATATTTGATTGATAAATGTCTGTCTTTAGCTTTCTTTGATAAAAGGTCGGTATCTTTCGCTTTCGGCTGGTTTGTTCCTTGTCGCCTTTTTATTATAACTAGGCATGCATCAGTTCCAGTCTAAGGCTTGGCAGACTGATACAGTCAGGATTTGTGCCAAGCCGGGATTGGTACCAGTCAGATCGGTCGACCAGTTAGGTTTGGTCGAATGTAGTAGGCAAAAGTTTCACCGTACAACCTAAGATGTAACCGTCATTGCATCATGCGCTTAGAATAATACTTTTCCGTGCTTCTCTTTTACTTCAAAGAAGATCACCCTCTCAGAAGTTTGTTCTTAATTTTCTGTTGACGAAGTTTATTTTAGTAGCCATAGTTTCAAAATTATTTAATTAATAGACAACTTCACTTGCACCATCGCCTATGAAAAATTTCTTGCCTTCTACTATCTATGTGAAAATATAGTGTACTTCGATAAATCGCTAATAACTTTTCAATTAAACGTGATAGCGGCATTCCGTTTTCAG